GTGTTTGCTTCTCTGTCTCTTTCGCCTGCCAGATTTCCCCACTTCGTGAAACTTACTCTAATATTGAGGCAGGTCCCCGACAGTCTCTCATACTTCAGACATAATATCACGAAGGGCAAGTCCCTGGAGAAGGATATCATGTTTTGTAATATGGATTGTTGGTGAACAAGAGGAAGACCCCAATAAAATGGATTGGTACAGAGGCAGCAGCCTTGGGCTCAAATGTAGCAATGGTTGTGAGGTTGGTGCAGGACCAGCAATGTTTCATCCTGTTGTTCATGGAGTTGCTATTAGTCTGTACCGACTTGATGGGACCTAGCAAACAACATACATTCTTTCTTCTGAGAGAGCTTGCTTTTATGTGTATCACCAATTCAATATATTCAGTCTCTTAGCTGTTACTGAATCTGAGACCCAAGATGAACTGAATGATTACTCTTATCAGTTAATTGCATGTTTGCCTCTAGCTGAGGACATAAAACTCACATTTCATTTAAAGTCCCCCGTGTATTTTTATGCTTCGCAGTGTAATCTATCCAACTTATTATTTCATCATTTATTTTTAATGTGGAACATCTTTTCTGGTCAAGTCAGCCATTTACTTCTAAAATCCACCTTTTGACTTTTTCTTAGGATAGTTTCATTACCAAACACATCTACACTCTCCTAGTACATACTTTTGAGGTTTCTTTCCCAAGACTTTCTCCTGTTCCCCTGTCCCCTTGCCCAGCAATCTCTTACATAAAACATATTCAGACCTAAATCACTGTAATTTTTTTGTGTTTTGTTTTCAGAAGTCCCTTGTCCCTTGATTACTATGAATTTTATCTCAGAATCCTACTGGGAATCATATTGTTGTTAAGTGCTGTCGAGTTGGTTCTGACACATAGCGATCCAATATAGGATTTCTGAGGAGAAACTGCTGGGTTTGAACTGCTGACCTTGTGATTAGCAGTCCAGTGCATATCCTACAGTGTTACATATAGGTGTTGTTGTTAAGTGCTGTCTTGTTGGTTCTGACTCATAGTGACCCTGTATAGGGTTTCTAAGGAGTGGCTGGTGAGTTTGAACCACTTTACGGTTGAGTGCTTATCCTGCAGCACCACACCAGGATTCCTTACATATGGTTACACAATAACTATTTATTGAATAAATGAGGAACCATTTGTAAAGATTGACCAGTAAAAGAGTTTATTCATCAGGTCTTTGGGATGGCAAAATCCTTTTCCTCCACATTCCACAGCAACTCCAGCAAAGCAGTTTTTGTTGTTGTGGTTCTCAAACATTTCCTTGATCTGTAATAAGAGAAATAAATGGCTTTTCTGAGCAGTGAATATTTTTTCAGATCAGGGTAACATAGCACCTAATGTCATCCAATTAGCACAGTAGAAAATGAGATCCAATACAGATCTATAACAAACAATCCTAAGGAGCTCTGGTAGCGTAGTGGTTACTAATCAGGCTGTGAACCTCAAGGTCAGCAGTTCAAAATTATCAGCTGTTCCATGGGAGAAAGATGAGGCTTTCTGCTTCTGTAAAGATTTACAGTCTCAGAACCCTGTACAGTGTTGCTATGAGTAAGAACTGACTCCACGGCACATAACAAAAACAGCAATAAACAATCCTAAGAACTGTCTGAGGTCAGTCCAGGTCAGTGGCCCTCTCCCAATTACTGTATTTCTCTATAGTAAAATACAGTGTGAGCAATGTGAAGTCTATAATAATATTTAGTCAGAATTCTCTTGGTGGTATCTATAGGGTTGGTGTCCCGTAGGGCAGTAACTCATTTTGCCCCTCCCATACAGACTATACAGAATCCTCAGTAACATTTATTATCAATTTTGACCATAGAACAATATATGATAAGTATAGTGTAAATTACTTAAATGTAATATTTCTTAGATTATATGAAGCAAACACCAAAATTATTTTGTAACATTTTTCTACCATAAATTACATTGTTGTTGTTGTTGGTTCTGACTTATAACAATGCTGTACAAGGTTTCCATGACTGTCCATCAGGGATGGGGAATCTTTTTTCTGCCAAGGTCCATCTGGATATTTATAACATTAATCGCGGGCCATACAAAATTATCAACTTAAAAATTAGTCTGTTGTATTTGGTCAAAGGAGCTCTGGTAGCGTAGTGGTTATGAGTGGGGCTGCTAACTTCAAGGTCAGCAGTTGGAAACTACCAGCTGTTTGCGGTAGACAGATGAGGCTTTCTGCTCCAGCAAAGATTTACAGCTTCAGAAACCCTATACAGGGTCACTATGAGTTGGGACAGACTCCATGGCACACAACCACTACCACCACCATATTTGGTCAAACATTTAATTAACTCATCCCAAATGTGATGGCTGGAGTCCTGGTATAGTGCCGTAGGATAAGCATTCTACCTCAGCATCGATTTGAACTGCAAAGTACGTGGTTCAGGCTCATCAGCTGCTCCTAGGAAATCCTATACAGGGTTGCTATGAGTCAGATGGCACTTAACAACAACAATGTGATGACTGGAACTGCCATTGTGTTGGCAGGGCCAAACCAAATGATTTTGCAGGATGTATATAGTCCATAGACCAGACATTCCCCACCCCTGAGATAAATCTTTGGGAGAACAGAAAGCTTCATCCTTCTTCCGGGGAGCGACTGGTAGATTTGAACATTGGACCCTGAGGTTACCAGACCAACATATAACCCATTATTCCAGCCACCATCATTATTAGCAAGTGAGCAGAAGTCTTTACATTGTTTTCTTTCTTTTCCTTTATTTACTATTTCATTCTCAAAATAGTTATTGCTATAGCTTCACAAATACTTACCACAATATTATAGCTAAAAACACCAGAAAATTTGACAAAGTCAGTCACCAAAAACACCAGTAACAACAAAAACATCACTATGTGCTTGTACCTCGTGCGGAGGAAACCACATGATTCAAAGCATCACTGTAATTGGGTAATAATGACAGTACATTGGAAGGGCTCAAAAACCAAAATTATTAGGACCTTTTAGCCTTGTAGGTATAGTGACACAGGTAACCTGGGCTGAACCCAAAATCTTTCGTTGCTATTACTTAACTATAGGGACATTTTTGTGAAAGAATGATAATTTTCTATTGAAACACTGCACAAAAATTTGAGTTATTTTGGCGTCACCCCTTCTGACAGCATCATCTGGAGTGGGCTGCATGCCCTGCACCTCTCTCATGACAGGGCTGAGTCTATGGAGTTGGAGATTTGGGACCGAGCCAAAGAGATACTGACTGCATTTACAAGGAGTGCTAATTGTTTACCTTTGCTGCAGGGAGCATCATACTCAGCAATTGCAAACTCATCTGAAAAACAAAACAACCCCCATATCATTAGGTGACATGGGAAAGAGAGAGCAAACATCTGTGAGATACAGGCCAGTGAAGGGACTTTTATTGTGGGAAGAACTGCAGTCTCTCAGAATTATCAGCATCATTCATTTGATTCATTGCTTGTTACCTTTACCTTCTACATACAGTGTTTTCCTTTAGCCTTAACTTTGGCAGGTCAGTTCAGATGTTATACTTAAAAAAACAACAACAAACTCATATAGTCCTACAGATGTTTTATATTAATAATTGACACATTTATACTCCAGTTGTTTCTACAGTGTCTGCATAGAAGGCAAAGAAAGGAGAACCAGACTTTATGAAGTCATAAGAACCTTTAATGTCATAAACCACCCCAACACAATGATTGAATCTAAATTTCTGTGATCAGGAATTTAGGTTCCATATGAAAGTTACTCACTCACCTGTTTCATAGTAATCATAAACTTTCACTATAGCTGGTTTTAGATCTTTTACAGGAATGTCCTGCATGACCATGAAGGGCAAACTCACTGTCTGATTTGTCACCTAGAAAGGAAAAGGGAATTGAATGATCTTCCAAGGACATGTCTTTACTTTTCTTTGGATAAATTTAAGTATTCATCAATTTTTTGAGGAAAAACTTTTCTTTCTGTATTTCTTTTTTTAAACCAACTAATTGCAAACTAAGGAGCTCTGGTAGTGTAGTGGTTACGAATTGGGCTGCGAACCTTAAGGTCAGCGGTTGGAAACTACCAGCCGCTCCGCGGGAGAAAGATGAGGCTTTCTACTCCCGTAAAGATTTACACCCTCGGAAACCCTGTACAGGGTCGCTATGGGTCAGAACCGACTCGATGGCACTTAACAACAACAACAATTGCAAACTACAAAGTCCTTAAACTATTTAAGAGTAGATGGATAAGAAATTCCCCCAATTGTTTCTTGAATCACTGAAAGAGCTCACATACCACCATGAATGCCAGTGTCTAGCTCTGTTCATAGGGGATAGATACTACATGCTTTTATTGGTTGACTAACTATATCAACCTATATCCATTTAAAAATATCCTGAGATTTAGTACGTTTTTACTCCTCTGTCTTATAAAAATGTTATGCTGTCTTATTACTGCCTTGTTGTTGTTGCTAAGTGCCGTTGAGTTAATTCCGACCCATAGCGGGTATAGGGTTTCCAAGGAGTGACTGGTGAGCTTGAACCGCCGACCTTGTGACTCAAATGAGTTTGCAGTCTGGTGCATTAACCCACAGTGCCACACCAGGACTCCTATTACTGCCTTAAACCTTATAAAATTTGTAAACAATGATATCTGTCACTATGTTATTATTGTTAAGTGTCATTGTGTCAGTTCCAATTCATTGTGAACCTGTATAGGGTTTCCAAGGAGTGGCTGGTGAGTTTGAATCACCAACGTTGAGGCTCAAACTAACCTTGTGGTCCAGGGCTTTATCCCACAGTGCTACACTAGGACTCCATCTATCACTATAGAAATGAATATGCTATGCTACAATATGTAATTATAAGATCAGTTTGGTTTATTGATGGGGCTGGTCTCATTATTTTAGGATCAAAGTCCTTGTTCAGATTAACAGTATTTCCCTCTTTTTTTCATGGATGTGATATGGTGATATTGATATAATAGCTTGCTAATTTTCAGATGGCTTCCTTAGAGTGATTATTATCGAAAGTTTTTGCAGCTAGACTGGCAGAGCTCTCACCTTATCCAGGTAAATCAAGACATGGTTGTTGCTGACTTCTGTCCGGCTCACATGGCTAGATCTTTCAAGCTGAAAAAAAATGAAGATGTCACAAATGTTGATCAATAGATGTAAACCTTGGGATTCCCAGGGTGAAAAGAGTTTTTATTACCAAAATTAGCTTGAATATATTTTTTTCAAAAGTTTCTCATATGTAAATACTATAATGTGTAAAATTTTAAATGAAACATAATTTTAATGCAGAGTTTAATATTAGTATGACATGTGATCTATGTAAAGTTGATCTATCTGAAGAAAAGGGGACTAAATAGCCCAAACTTGGGAAAAATTCATATTTTAAGATTCAATTCATATTCTATTCATTTGTGGATTTTTTTTTTCTTGCTCTAACTTAAAATAATCTCATTTTTCTTAAAACTTCTGTAATACTTATGTTGTTGTTGTTGTTAAGTACCGTGGAGTCGGTTCCGACTCATAGTGACCCTGTACAGGATTTCCGAGGCTGTAAATCTTTACGGGAGCAGAACGCCTCATCTTTCTCCCACGGAACAGCTGGTAGTTTCGAACTGCTGACCTTGAGGTTAGCAACCCGATTCATAACCACTACGTTACTTATAGTTTATGTCAATTTGTCATTTTCATACTTGTTTTTTCACTGGCTCAAGTGTATAGGCTTTGTTTTGTTAACATGAGTCTAAGTTTATGACACTAGACACCTTTCTTCTAGTTGTCATGGCTTCTAGTGAGTGCAATTCAAGTGCTGGGTGCTCACTGTTGTTTTGTGGGGCCGTCCAGTTGATTCCAACTCATAGCAATGTTATGAACAATGGAATAAAACTGCCTGGTCCTGGGCTGTCCTCACAATTGTTGTTATCATGTGGGCCCATTGCTGCTGCCACTGTGTTAATCCATCTTGTTGGTGATCTTCCTGTTTTTCACTGACCCTTCACTTTACCAAGCATGATGTCTGTCTGCAGAGACTGGTCCCTCCTGACAACATGTCTGAACTACCAGAGACAAAGTCTTGCTATCCTCACTTCTAAGGAGCATCCTGGTTGGATTTCTTCCAAGAAAGATTTGTTTGTTATTCTGGCAGTCCATGGTACTTTCGATATTCTTCGCCAACATCCTGATTCCAATGCATCAAATTTTCTCCAGTCTTCCGTATTAATTGTTCCACTTTCATGTGCATATGAGGTGATTGAAAATAGCATGGCTTGGGTCAGGCACACATCTTAGTCTTCAAACTGTTATCTGTGTTCTTTAACACTTTAAAGAGGTTTTGTGCACCAGATTTGTCTAATGCAGTCTTGACTGCTGCTTCCTTGAGTGTTGATGGTGGATTGAAGCAAAATGACAATTTCAGTCTTTTGTCCATTTATTATGACGCTATTTATTGGTCCAGTTGTGAGGATTTTTTTTTTTTTTTTTACATTGATGTGCAATCTATACTTAAAGCTGTGGTCTTCGATATTCACCAGTGTTTTAGGCCCTTGACTGTTGCTTCTACAAGTGTTAATCCAAGCAAAATAAAGTCTTTGACAACTTAATTTCCTTCCTCTATTTATCATGATATTGTTATTGATCTAGTTGTGAGGATTTTTGTTTTCTTTACATTGAGGTGTAATCCACAATGAAGTCTGTATGTAGTCTTTGTTTTTATCAACAAATATTTCAAGTCTTCTTCACTTTCAGCAAGCAATATGAATACTGCAGGTTGTTAATAAGTCTTAGTCCAATCCTGATGTCACATTTTTCATTTATTAGATTATTTATTTGCTCAACATGTGGATTGAATAAATATGGTGAAAGGATACAACTTTGCCACACACCTTTCCTGATTTTAAACCATTCAATATGCTCTTGTTCTGTTTTAAGGACTGCCTCTTGGTGTGTGTACAGGTTCCCCATGGTCACAATTAAGTATTTTAGAATACCTAATTGTTCGCAATGTTATTCATTGTTGTGATCCACACAGTTGAATGGCTTTGCATTGCCAATAAAGCTCACGTAAACATCTGTCTAATATTCTCTGCTTTTAGCTAATATCCATCCATCTGATGTCAGCTATGATATCTCTAGTTACATGTTGTCTTCAGAATCTGGCTTGAACTTCTGGCAATGTACTGCTGCTAATATTTTTTAATTATCTTCAGCAAAATTTTATTTGTGTGCGATATTAATGATATTGTTTGATGGTTTCTGCATTCTGTTGGGTCACCTTTCTGTTGGAATGGGCATAAACCTGGATCTCTTTGAATCAGTTGGCCAGGTAGCTGTCTTCTAAGTTTCATGGCATATACAATTTCAGCAGTGCATCAGTTGGTTGAAATATTTGTGTTTGTATTCCATCAACTCCTGGAGCCTTGTTTTTTGCCAGTGCCTTCAGTGCAGCATGGACGTCTTCCTTTAATACTGTTGGTTCTTGATCAGATACTACCTCCTGAAATGGTTGAATATTGACCATTTCCTTTTGGGACAATGATTCTGTGTACTCCTTCTTCTTTTGATATTTTTCAGAATCATTCAATATTTTGCCCATTGTTGTTATTAAGTGACATAGAGTAGGTTCTGATTCTTAGCAACCCTGTAGAGGGTTTCTGAGGAGTGGCTGGTGAGTTTGAACCGCCTACCTTGCAGTTCAAATTGACCTTGCAGTCCAGTGCATTATCCTGCAGCGCCAGAATCTTTCAATATTTCAAGTTGAGGACTGAATGTTTTCTTTATTTCTTTCAGCTTGAAAAATGCTGAGTGTGTTCTCCCCATTCAAAGGGATGTCCATACAGACATGTTAAATTTGATTTCTGAATTGCAAAAAGTATATTCTTTGATAGAGGCTATTTAGTAATATTTAACTATTAGCGTTCATTTTTTGTTTTGTTTTCAGTCTGGGAATACAAGACATAAAGTAGAATAGGGTTTCTTAGGTTTACATTAAACCTACCATTTTCACTGATGGTTTCATTGGAATGAAACCAGACACCATCTTCACATCAGCAATCACCATGTTGGAGACAGGGCGGCTTCCAGTGTAACTGAGGATCCAAGGAAGGAAGGAATTAGGATTGTTTGCATTGTTGAACATTTTCTTTTACTATGTAAGTCCCCAGCAGCCCTGAAAGCTGCATGTAAGTCTTCCTTAGTATCCTACCCAAATGATTTGGAAAACTGGTTTTGTGCCTCTGAATTGTCAGGGCTCCTATGAAAGCCACAGAGACCAGGCCTTCCTCTGGACCTGCTAAATCCGAATTTCAAGTGAATGGATGCTGAGGATCTGTATTTTAAAAAATAAAGATGTACAAATGGTGCAAAGCCTGGGTCTGAGATCTCTAATCTATGCTATTTGTTATAGAAATTTTGTCTTGATGTTTTCCTGAATATTATCCTCAGTTAGTGATATCCTTTGTGTAGAACTAATTTTTTTTTTGTAAACATAGTAGTAACTACTTGAATACTGACTTGTATTTTTCCTGCAATATTATTTCATGTATAATCTGAGATTTATTTCTTGCCAGAGGGAATTCTAATCAGGGAATCACTCCTTCCTCCTATTTAAGATTTGGCCACAGGGCAGGAATGTTATAGGATTTCATTATGTTAGAAAGAATTCAGATCAGAAATAAGGAATAATGTTCTTTACTTAGTTGTTATTTAGGGGAATTATTAACCTTTCAACAGTTAGGATGAACAATGCAAACCTCGTCATTGTGAAAGTCTATTTTGTCAACATAAGAGAGGATGTTGCCCTTTCAGTAATAGTACTGCCAACATTTATTGTCACATTGCTCTACTAACTGAGAAGTTCTAGTCAATCGTTTGGTTGCTATCCTTAGAATAAGGTGATACGGTCAGAAGGTCTTACCTGACATTCACTGTGATCTGGAAGCTGGTGTGAGCCTTGTTTCCATCACACGTTTGGGGCGAAGTCTGTACCTTCAGAGCAAATGGGGACACTTCCTTCTCTGGGAGAACATTGTATTTCAAGGATGTCTGTGGAAAATTAATGAGGGGAAAAATCTGTCTTTCTCTTTTCCCCAGCATTCATCTCATCTTCTTTGATTCTTGCCATTTGCTCAGTTAGGACATTTTACTGGTTACAGTAGATCTTCTGCACCCCGCTCCCAAGAGCCTCACCTGGACATAAACACATCTGTCTCCTGTTACTTTGGTGCTGTACTCCCCAGGCACCTCTGGCAATGAGACCTGCTGTAGCAACAGCCGGTTGTTGTTGTCCACTTGGAAAGTGTTGGAAAAGGTCTGCGAACCCTGAATGGTCACCTGTGCAGCTTTGTCAGTTCTGGAGAAAGTGGCTGCTCCGTATTTGGACAGGGCGTGCAGAGCCACCACTGTGTCCTGAGGGCCAAGAGTGAGAGAACCTGCTCAGGTGATACAACTTTGAGGACTAGGATTATCCCCAACGTCCCAGTTAGCGCCCACAAACAAGTTTTGATAGCCTTCTTACTTCACTACTTAGATATGGAGTCCTAGTATTAAGACTGATTCTAATCTTTGGATAGATACCAGAACCATAATGTTTACATATTATTTTCTCAGAAAATTGGTCATTTTCTCTATATAAACGTGTGGGATATGGAACGAGGGGACTTCAAAGCTCATGGGGACATTCCATGGTCTTTTTATTCTGCTACAACAGGGAAGGGAGCCAGAATTTGAGGCATTTTCTTTACCATTCTTTTTGACTTTTCATTTTCCCTTAATTTTTACTCTTTCTGATATTAAGGCCCTCTTCCCCGTGCCAAGTTATTCTCATCATCATTTTTCCTTTATGCTGTGTGGCTTTATCTTTTGCTACCTGAAACTGAAGTAAAAGATCCTGGAAAACCACAGACCTGGGTGGAGGAGAAGCCCCCATGGGAATTCTGTTGCTTGGTAATCCATTTCACGACGCGTGATGCAGCAGCCAGCTCCTCCGAAGTTGGGGCAGGCTGGGTGGTGACGTGAGCAAGGAGCACATAGGACGTCATCTCCACCTCAGCAGAGGGAGCCTGGGGTTGGTAAAAGTGCTCCATTGGTGCCTTGGGTTTCTGAGGTCTTGCCCAGTGGATGGAATTCTCTGGGGGTGAGAAAAGGATATTTATGAGTGGCTGCATATATGTATTTAATTTAAAGTGAAAGTAGTAAAGTCAAAGCTGAAATGTCTGCTTTCCAATTATAATCACTCAAAACTTATATAGCAACTTTTACTTTTATGTAAATCTTAACTCAGTGTGTTTCAGCAGGAATACAGGAGTCCCTGGGTAGTGAGATCTCAGCAGTAACTGAAAGATTGGAGATTCAAGTCCACTGAGAGGATTCTTGGACAAAAGGACTGGAGATCTATTTCTGAAGAATAAACCATTCAGTGCTCTATGGAGAACAATTGTTCTTTGGTACACATGCTTTCACCATCATCCAGAACTAATTTAACAGCAGCTGATTTTAATATAACTGTGGTCAGAAGCCTAGAGACATCTGTTTTATCAAATAATCTTGATACTTGAGTTAGAGGGAGAGAGAGATACTATAGGAAGTTCTCCTATTAGTTGTGGGCATTTTTATTTCTTGTTATCTAAAGCTATGGGTCAGAACCGACTTGACGGCACTTAACAACAACAACAAACCTTGTTTAAGGAGCTCTGGTAGCTTAGTGGTTACAAGTTGGGCTGCTAACCTCAAGGGCGGCAGTTTGAAACTACCAGCAGCTCCGCAGGAGAAAGATGAGACTTTCTGCTCCTGTAAAGATTTACAGCCTCGGAAACCCTGTGCAGGGTCACTATGCGTCTGAACCGACTCCACAGTACTTAACAACAACAACAAACCTTGTCTGGGGCTGGTTTTGCATCCTACAAAGCCTGTCCTCAGATTCTTCTGATAAGGATCACAGATTGGATTTGCTAATAGATTCATACTCATCAGATAGGAAAAAATAAAACAAAAGAATTGTTAAGCTAAAGGCTGATAAGGGTGTGAAACGATGGGAGTGGATAGATACTGCTGTGAGAAGTAAATTCTTTTTGAAAGTTGGTAATATCCAGAGAGATGAAGATGTGCTTGTTGTTAGGTGCCATCGAATCGGTACCGACTCACAGCGACCCTATGCACAGCAGAATAAAACACTGCCCGGTCCTGGGCTAACCTCACAATTGTTGCCACACTTGAACCCATTGATGCTGCCATTTTGCCAGCCCATCTCGCTGGGGATCTTCCTCTTTGTCTCCGACCCTCCACCCTACCAAACATGGTATCGTTCTCCAGAGACTGGTCCCTCCTGACAATATGTCCGAAGTATGAGAGACAAGCTTGGCCATCCTGGTCTCCAAGGAGCACTCTGACTGCTCTTCTTCCAACACAGATCTGGTGGTTCTTTTGGCAACCCATGGCACTTTCAGTATTCTCCTCCAACACCATAACTGAAAGGCATCAATTCTTCCTTATTCACTGTCCAACTTTTATATTGAAAATACCATGGCTTGGGTCAGGCGCACCTTAGTCCTCAAGCTGACATCTTTGCTCTTCTACACTTTAAAAAGGTCTTATGCAGCAGATTTGCCTAATGCGATACGTCGTTTGATTTCTTGACTGCTGCTTCCATGAGTTTTGATAGTTGAATCAAGAAGAATGAAGTCCTTGACAACTTCAATCTTTTCTCCATTGATAGGAATATTGTTTATTGGTCCAGTGGTGAGGATTTTTGTTTCCTTTACATTGAGATGTAATCCATACCAAAGGCTGTGTTCTTTGATCGTTATCAGTAAGTATTTTAAGTCATCTTGACTTTCAGCAAGCAAGGTTGTATCATCTGCATATCGCAGATTGTTAATGAGTTTTCCTCCAATCCTGATGTCATGTTTTTTATCATAGAACCCAGCTTCTCAGATTATTTGCTTAGCATACAGGTTGGATAAATATGGCAGAAGTATACAACCCTGTCTCACACCTTTCCTAATTTGAAACCATTCAGTGTTCCCATGTTCTATTCAAACAATTGCCTCTTGGTCCATGTACAGGTTCCTCATGAGCACAATTAAGTGTTCCGGAATACTCATACTTCACAATGTTGTCCATAGCTTGTCATGATCCACACAATCGAAAGCCTTTGCATAGTCAATAAAGCACAGGTAAACATCTTTCTGATATTCTCTGCTTTCTGCCAAGATCCATCAGACATCATCAGTGAGCATACATCTAGAAGTATAACTTAGAAAAACTCACATGTCTGTACAGAATGCATATGAGTATTTATTGTAGCAATACTTATAATCACCCTCTGCCATTAAGTCACTTCTGACCCATAAAGACCCTATTGGAGTCCTGGTGTGGCGCTGTGGGTTAATGTGCCAGAGTGCAAAGCTGTTTGAACTTCAAGGTCAGTGGTTCAAGCTCACCAGCTGCTCCTCGGAAACCCTATACAGGGCCGCTATGGGTCAGGATCGACTTGACGGCACTTAACAACAACAACGTCAAGGATCCTATTGTTGTAGTTGTTAAGTGCTATTGAGTCAGTTCCAAAACATAGTCACCCTGTATAGGGTTTCCGAGGAGTGGCTGGTGAGCTTGAACCGATGATCTTGTGGTTCAAACAACTTTGTGGTCCAGCACATTAACCCACAGTGCCATACCAGGACTCCAGAGACCCTATAGGACAGAGTAAACCTGCTCCATAGGGTTTCTGAGATGGTAAATCTTTACTGAAGCAAGCAGCCTCATCTTTCTTCTGAGGATCAGCTGTTGGGTTTGAACTGCCAACCTTTTGGCTAGCAGCCCAATCATTAGCCTAGCATACCACCAGGGCGCTTTTGTTTTTTAAACCATAGGAAAGAAAATAGAAGCCAGCAACCAGGGGAGAATTGATGTATAAATTATGTCATCTATATATATGTGTGTGTATATATATATATATATACACATTGTTGTTGTTAGGTGCTCACTCATAGTGACCCTATACATAATAGAACACAATTTTGCTCATACCTGTGCCATCCTCACAATTGTTATGTTTGGGCCCATTGGTTTTGCTGCTGTGTCAATCCATCTTACTGGGGGTCTTCCTTTGTTTCACAGACCCTCCATTGTACCAAGAATGATGTCTGTCTCCAGGGTCTGGTCCATCCTGATAATGTATCCAAAGAATGAGAGACAAAGTCTGGCCATCTTGATTTCTAAGGAGCATTCTAGTTGCACTTGTTCTAAGTCAGATTTGTTTATTATTTTGGCGGTCCATATACTTTTAATATTCTTCTTCAACACCATAATTCAAATACATCGATACTCTCTGATCTTCCTTATTCGTTGTCCAGCTTTCTCAAGTATATGAGACTATTGAAAATACCATGCTTGGGTCAGGCACACCTGAGTCCTAAAGCTGATATCTTTGCTCTTTAACATTTTAACTAGGTCTTTTACAGCAGACTTGCCAAATGCAATATGTCTTTTAATTTCTTGACTGCTACTTTCATGAAGGTCGATTGTGGAGTCAAGCAAAATGGTCTTTGACAATTTTAATCTCTTATCCATTTGTCATGATATTATCTATTGGTCCAGTTGTGAGGATTTTAAATTTGTTTACACTGAGATGCAATCCATGCTGAAGGCCATGGTCTTTGATCTTCACTAATAAGTATTTTAAACCCTCTTTACTTTCAGCAAGCAAGCTTGTATCATCAGCATATCGCAGGTTGCTAATGAGACTTCCTCTAAGCATGATGCCAAGTGCCTTCATATCATCCAACTTCTTGGATCATTTACTTAGCATACAGATTGAATAAGTATAGTGAAAGGATACAACCCTGGCACCTTTCCTTATTTTAACCATTCAGTATCCCCTTGTTTTGTTTTAATGATTGTTTCTTGGTTTATATACAGGTTCCTCATTAGCACAATTGAGTGGTCTAGAATACCTATTCTTCACAATGTTATCGGTAGCTTGTTATGACCCATATAGTCCAAAGTTTTTGCATAGTCAATAAAGCACAAGTAAACATTTTTTTTCTGGTATTCTCTGATTTTAGCCAAGACCCACCTGATGTCAGCAATGGTATCCCTTATTTCATCCCCACTTCTGAATTTGGCTTGTATTTCTGGCAATTCCCTGTTGCAACCATTTTTGAATGATCTTCAGCAACATTTTATTTGCTTGTAATATTAATGAAATTGTTGTATGATTTCTACATTCTGATGGGTCACCTCTTTTTGGAATGGGCACAAATATGGATCTCTTCCAATCTGTTGGCCAGGGAGTTGTCTTCCAAATATCTCGGCATAGATGGGTGAGCGCCTCCAGGGCTACATCAGGGTGATTTCAATTTTTATTCATTCAATTCCTGGAGCCTTGTCTTTCACCAGTGTCTTCAGTGCTGCTTGGAAATCTTCCTTTAGTACCTAATCATATGGATGTCTTGAAATGGGTGAACATTGACCAATTCTTTTTGCTTTCATCTTCTTTTGATGCTTTCTGTATCATTCAATATTTTCCCCATAGACTTCTTCAGTATTTCAAGTTAAGGATTGAATTTTCTTCTTCAATTCCCTCAGCTTGAGAAATGCTGAGTGTGTTCTTCCCATTTGGTTTTCTAACTCCAGGTCTTTGCATATTTCATTATAATACTTGACTTTGTCTTCTTGAACTGACCTTTAAAATGTTCGGTTTAGCTGTTTTTTCTTATTGAAATTATTCATTACCATTGATACATGGTAATGTTATATCACATAGCAATGAGAATGAATAACTAGAGCAAAAAATAAAATATGTATGGAATTTTCATGAGCACAATGTTGAATTTAAAAAAACAAACAAAAAAACAAAGATGCAGAGATACCCCAAAATATGAAGCTATCTAATGATAGAAAACATGAAAAAATATTAAATTTTATTTAGTGATATATATAAAGCACTGGATTATTAAACAAATGTTGGCAGTTCAACCACTCTTCAGAAACACTATGCTTATAGGGTCACTATGGGTCGGAACTGACTCGATGGCACTTAACAATGACAACAATATGTAGTAAAAAAATACAAAGAAATTTATGGGAATAGTAATGATGAATTCAGGATAATGGTTATGTCTTGGGGTAGAAGGGATGGGATACACAGGAAATATTTTACTGCATTGGTAATATTTTATTTCTTAATTGGAGATATTATTTATCTAGATATTATCTATCTAGATAGATAGATATTGTTTTGTTGTTGTGAAGTGTTGTCGAGTCGGTTCCGACCCATTGCGACCCTGTATAGGGTTTTCAAGGAGCAGCTGGTGAGCTTGAACTGCTGACCTTGCAGTTCAAACGCGTTGCAATCTGGTGCACTAACCAACAGAGCCACACCAGGACTCATATATGTTGTTGTTGTTAAGTGCCGTCGAGTCGGTTCCGACCCATAGCGACCCTGTACAGGGTTTCC